TTTTATTTAAATATTTTAGCATTTTAAAAAGTAAATCAGAGCTAAAAAAGTGCAAAAACGCAGGCAAATTTGCCTGCGTTGGTTTACATATTAAGGGATATGTTTTTGTTATTGTTTTTAGTTTGGATTTTTTCTTAAAATTTTTAATACAAGAGATTGATAGAAAGAGTTGTAAGTATTTTCAATAGTTAATTAGATTTGTTATTTAGTTTATTGCTTTAATATATACTAATTTTATAAAAAATAATTTTTAATTTATAAAATTTAATGTATATTTCAAATTAATTAGAGTTGAAATATAGCTTTAAAATATATAAAAGTTTTTTATATATAAGTTTGTTTAGATATAAGATTCTAATTTTAGTTTTTATAAAGTTTTTAAAAGTTTTAAATATTTTTACTTAGAGTACCCAATTTTGTTTACTTAATATATTTTTAAAATATAAGTATTCTAGAGATAATTATCATTGGTTAAGTTAGATTTTTTTTTACAAATTTATATATATAGTATGCCAAGTTACTTCTTATTAAAAATTATATATATTTTAAAAAGTCAATAAAATCTTAAGTTTTGAATATTTTTTTATTTTTTTTTTTATCTTAGGCATATTTTGTCATAACCTGGTCCTAACTTTATAACTCGATGATCCTCCAGATCTATGAATTCATACTAGGTATTCTAGCCTGACTTTACTTTCTACTTTATTTAGTAGCCAATTGCAACTGCTGCACCAACTGCTGGAGTGGTCGAATCATCTTTTTATAATGATTGATGAAACTTTTCATCTGCCAATCAGATAACACCACGAGTTCATATAGTATTCTCTTAGATTTAAACCTTATATTACATCTTGTAACTTCGGTTATTTCAAATCAGGGTTCTAACATGGTTCACTTCATAGCCACAACTTCTTAGAATAACTATTTTCTGAATATGTTCATTTATAGATATTTTAAATTCTCTGTACCCCATGGTGTTTCACTTCTGTATTTGGTTTTTTGTTATTTTGCTACTAGAAGAAATTAAACCAGCAACCTTCCAATTTGCAACCTGGAAGCATAACCACTATGCTATTAACCCACAGGTTCAAGTTTTAAATATTTTTTAAAAATATAACTAATAAAAAATATTGTTTTTTATTAGTACTATCCAAATTATTAATTAAAAATTTTAAAAAAGTTTATGAATAAAGCTATAAGTGTTTAAAGCTATTATGTTTTCAAAATTTTGGCATTTAATATACAATTTTTTTTATCCAATTAGAATTAGTATATAATGCATTTTGATTGGCTAAAAAGCATTTATATATATAGACTCCAATTTGGCGCATTTGATGTGAAGTAACTTGGTACACCATATTTGATTATAATTTTCATTTAAGAAAATTTCTAAGTCTACACTAGTGTGTACACATGGGTATTAATTTATTGATTTGCAAATCCAGACAACATATAAATTCATAAAAAATCTCACCTTTAATATTAAAAAAAAAAAATTAAATAAATTCATAAAAAAAAATTACTTAATATTAGGATTAGATTAGAGGTTAGGGTTAGAGAGTATTTTATACTAAAATTTTGCATAGATTATTTTTTGTTAGAACCTCAAAGTAGTTTTATAAGCAAAATTTTGAGTTATAATATCCCGTGTATACACACTAGTATACAAATAGTAATTCTCTTTATTTAATATATAAAATATTTTTTTATTTCTAGCCTAACTTGAACTATAAACTTTTCTTTAAAAAAGTTTTGCAGCTTAAATACTAAGCTATAGAGTTCAAAATTTATAATTTTTAAATAATGGTTATATATACAATACTATATACAGTACTATATGTAAAATAGGCAAAAATATCAAAATCATGTGATTAATGATCTCCGTGAAGCTAGTTCGAAGCAAGCATCAAAATATGTAATACGATATTCACACCCAATTTTAGTACCCGAAATATGTTAAGGGAAGAAACAAATTCTGTCGGAGGTCAGAAATAATCGCCAATCATGTGGACTCGACATCTTTCTGCCACCACTAGTCTACTTCTATATTAGTGCTGCCTGACATCGGACTTTCAATAATGTGTACAGTTAGCCGTCTATGGAAAATCTATCATTTTCCATAGATGGCTAACTGTACACAAAATATAATTGAAAGTCCGATGCCAGGTTTTCCCTTGACGCACTCATATACGATATATAGTATAATAAAATAACATCATATTGGTACAGTGATAATTTTTTTGATCAGAGAATGCCGCGAAGCGGGATTCTCTAAAAATTATCCCTGTACCAATGTGATGCATTTCAGAATTATCATGCTATATTGGTATTATAGTATGGCGGTCATTGATTATAAATTATACTATTTATGTTTTTTTAAAACTCCTTTAATTCATATAGTGCAATATAATATAAATATGAATGACGTCGTGCAATATAGCAAGAAAAGCGATTTATAACATAAATGGTGTAATACTCATGATCAATAGTGGCCGTCTATAATGCTGTATAAATATACTTATATATATATATATTGTAAATTTTATTAAAATTATATTAATATAAATTTTTTGTTTTTTTTTATCATAAATACTTAACGTGAATTATTTAATTATTAAGCAACTATAATATATATATACTATATTAATGACCATTTTAATAGACCCGATAAATTTATTCATATTTACTAAAAACGTACTTCTGGTGTTTTATCACCTATGTTGCATTATCTTAAAAGCTAGCTAATTAATTAATGCGTCTATAGTAAGTAAAAATGCTCTGTTTCCAAAAACCCTTAATTCTAATACTAAATACTAACCCACATAAAAATTTGTGCTAAAAATTTTATATACGTACAAACTTATAAAAACTTAGAACAATATATAAAGACATATACATTAAACCACCATAGGTGCGTTTTATAATAAATGAATTATTGTATATAAATATATATATACGTACAAAATATTATATAAAATTCTTTTGTTTTAAATTTTAAAAGCCATAATATAATAATAGATTTAAATCTAATTAAAAATTAAAACTATATATATAAAGTTATATAATTATATAGTTCTTTATAATCTAGCTAAATTGGTTTTTATAAATGTTTTACAATTAAAAATTAAAGCCGGAAGATTAAGATATTTTTAAAATTCTATTATATATAATAAACAATTAATTAACTTTGTATGGCCTAATTTAAACTAATTTTAGACTAAATCAAGTAACCGGATTCTAACTCTATTAATTCTAAATAAATAAGTCAAATTTATGTAAAAAGAAGATCAAACGCTACATCCTACAGTCTTTACGCTACATCCTACAGTTATACGCAACATCATACAACATCATGTAGATAGAGATAGACAGAACACGTGATTGTGAGAGAAGTTACGCAACAAAATAATACACGCGATCTACGTGGACATATGATATTTAATATGCATGTGATGACCAATTACATTAGAACCTTGATCAACTCTTTTTTGTAATGTACACCAACCGAGGAAACCGATTTTCTCATCAACCTTCCGGAACACCTTGGCGACCAGTAACGATTCGACCGCCAGTACCAACCAACCCAAATTTCGTAAATGCGTTTTCGAACTATGAAAGTGACAGTGATAGTGATAGACCAAGACCTTATAATGTAATATTCGATAGTTCTTCTACTTCACCGGCACTAAGTTCATCAAGTCCTTCACCACAAGAAACGCCAGAAATACAAATACCTGGGTTAAATGATTCACCTATAACAAATATAGAAGAAATAGAAGATTCAGCAGGTTTATTTTTTTATTTTGAAATTAATAGAGTTGATTCAGAATATATTGAACTTTAACAAATTTTATTAAAACATACTAAAAGGCACTTACTTAGAGCCAAATAACGTAGAAACATCAGGCATGGAACAAGATAATCAACTAACAGTCAATACTTTAGAAGATCAGGATGATTACTGTGATGATGAGAATGAAAATGTTCATCCAAATCAAAGTCAAATAGAAAATGGTACGTGATAAACATTTATGATGAAAGATAGTTTAAATAATAAGAGCATTTAATATTTAATATTTCTAGTTTTATAGACCCTTTGAAGCAAAATATTGCCTTTTTACGCAAAGCTGTACGACAATTGGAAGATGACGAATGGCAATTTATACAGACCAATAATGAATTTACGAAATTCTAGAGTAAGGATCACTTTCAACTTATTTTGATTTACATTAAAATATAGAATGTGAGAAGAAATTCTTTTAATGGGTTTAATAATTAATTTGCGGCCAGGATAATCCCGATTATGAAGATTGTGTGGGTTTATTCCCTAAAGAGAAATTATTTTATTAATTCGAACGGAATTAACAACGAATAAAATGACAAAATAAACAAAATTAACGAAATAAACGAAAATAAACGGGTATAAACAAAATAAACGAAATAAACAAAATAAACGAAATAAACAAAATGGACGAAATAAACAAAATGAATGAAATAAATGAAATAAAGAACCTTTAATTTTACTCAGGAAATGAAAGTAAAATTAGAGATTATAGAAATAGTAAATTTAAAAATTCAATTTATTTTTTTAAAAAAAAATTTGTAGATATCAATAAAAAGATTAATTATCAAAAGAAATTCAGGTTTTCGTAACGAAAACTATAATATAAACCTTTGAAAATATTTATCAGTAAATCATTAATAAAGATACTGCGGATCGCCAAATCATTAAAATCATTATTGCCATGTGGCGCATTGATGACATATCGGGAGAAGCGAAAATAATCTGATGTTAATAGAACACCTGCATCGTACAATAGAACCGAAAGATGCACCTATTACCTTATGTTACAGAAAAGAATGCCTTAAAAAAGCACTTCTTACATATTTACGGAACGTAAAATAGAATTTGTTAATTTATAGAAAAGAAGTCCATAAAATGATTTATTTGTTTTCATCGTCGGAATCACAAGAATTTAGAAAATTATTAAGGGTAAAAATTTGATCACTATTTTTTTGTTTTTGGAAGATTGATTGTCAAAGGGATCTTACATTGGTCCCCAATTTGTATGTAAATTAATCGTATGACAGATTGAAAGTCAGAATATTGAATGTGAATATGAATTTTGAATATTGTGGAGGTGTTAAAAATTATTAACTATTAATGTATAGTGTGATAGCTGTTAGCTTACTGACATCGGTATTACGCATCGTTGCAGACTTTATCTTTCATCAAAGTAATTCGGCGATTTATCATAAGCAACACAATATCAATATTACAATAAAATAAACAATGCAACTTTCGCACAACATATCAGCGCTGTGCTTCTTATTCAGAGCCACGGATCTACATTGAATCTATATATTTAAAAAATTTTCTTTCCCAGTTCTCACTCAGGCCCTGTGGAATTCATGCACCGACTCCTGCTGTGTTCATAAACTACTATATACGCAACTATCATCTGTTTTATATTAACTTTATATTGGGTTTTTTATGTTGTGTAACTCTACATTCTTCCTTTTGTGGTATGGTAGCGTTGATTTAAATGACGTAACAGATTCGTTTGTGCCATTAGCTGTTAGAGTTGTGTGCCCTCTTGATCAAATTTTTTTTTTTTTTTTTTTTCCAGAGTCAGTGCAGACCCCCAAACTTTCTTTGCATTTCTCCTTTGAGAAAAAGGAAAACAACCACTTTGTTTGATCCTACTTACTCTTACCTGTGTCTCTTGAGTCTTTGCCAGCTTGTCTTCAATCTAATCTACTGTAAGTAATAGTTCCACTACAACTTTTTCCTTTCTTACATCCGAAATCTAGCTAGTTCTTCCCTCCTTCTTTTGGTTAACTTCTTTTGAAATTACCGCATTTGAAAAAGGAAAAGAAAAAGGAAAATTTTTTTTTCAAAAATATATATATTTATGACTTATTTTATTTTTATTAAAAAAATGATATAAATATGTACCTTAGTATTTTATTTCTCTTTTACGTTTTTCTTAACCTCCGCTGTGTATCACAACAGCTGCTTACCTTTCTCGCTTTATATAAACTATTACCGAACCAATCTCGCTCATTTATTTAGTTAATCCCTCTGAACGAGGCAAAAAAGAAGAGTCAAGGGGAGATAATAACGTCTAAATTTTAGTGCGAGTGTGAAAACTTTAATATCTCTTGAAACGTAACCAAAACTCCCAATGTCGAATATATACAATCATAGACAGATTGTTCCAGGTGGTGGTACCGGTGGTCCGAGTCGTATCAACGAACTTTTAGATGCTTTAAAAAATGAATTTGAAAGTCTTAGTCAGGAGGCTATGACTTATAAAATACAACGCGAAGAATTTGAACATAAAGGTTTGAAATTCTATTTCCTTCCACTCCTTAATTTGAATTTCTTTATCTTTCTTGTAATTTATTCAAAATTGCTCGAATTACATGAAATTCGTTCAATTTCAATTTGGCGTGTTCATTCAATTTCTCTATGTTATTTTACTATTGGTTAATTTATTTTCTGTATTCATTTGCGTGTATTTACTTATTTACTGCGTTATGATGACGTTCCCGTTGTCGTACTGTGCAACAATGCACGATTGATCCAAAGTTTTGAATTACTTGTTAAATTATTCTTATTTATATTAATTATTCATTGTTTTCTATCTTCTTATATAGTTCAACAACAAGCTGAGGAGGTTTCGCTTATTCGTCAAAGTTTATATGAATTACAAGCTACACATAAAGGCATAAAACAACAGTAAGTGTTTGATTAATTAATTATATTTTATTTTATTTTATTTTATTTCTTTTTTTAAATTATTTTCCCTAAATTTTATTAAATTTACTAAATTCTTTGATCTCTCATTCGTTGCTTCATTATACTATATTTACTCTATTTATTTTAAGGTATGATAACGATCTGCGAAATCTTCAGCGTGAAATTGAACAACAAAGGTTGCATCCTCATCATTCTACAAGTACTCATCCTCCTCCTCCTCCATCACATCCCCAACCTCCCCCACCGACCATTGGACAGGGTCAAAGTAATTTGTTTGGTGGTATTATCAGTGGCAATGGCGCCCCTGGTCTTGCTGCTCCTCCTCAAATGTCTATGGATCCTACACAGCAACCAACAAATCAACCTGGTCATCCGGGAAACTATCCTGGTCCGAGCGGTCCTCCTCAGAGCGTTCCACAATCAACTAGCACCGCTCCTTCTCCATATCTTAATGGTGGTGTTCCCACGGGTTCTTTATCACAACCTCATACTCCTAAACGACCCCGTATAGAGGATACTGTTTCAACTCCGGTTCCTCAAAATCCTCTCGGTATGACTCCTGGTTCTCAACAATCTCAACCTGGTTTGTACAGTAATAATGGCATTCCTCCGCCTCAGTCTAGTCAACAAGGTCAACCTCAGTTATCAAATTACATGCCTCCTGTTGGTCCAAGTAGTAAACCTGGTGGTAAAATTGCAAAGGTACCTTAAAACCCTTAAGTGGTTATTTTATAATATTCTCTATTGTCTCTTTTTATTGATCATTTAAATTATCATGATTTTAGCCTGTAACTTTAATACCACAGATTCCTCCAAGTATTGGCGGCCCTGATGGACAACAATCTACCGGTGGTCCTACCAATGGTAATGCTCAACAGGTTTCCTCAAATAATAAACGAAAAAGTAATCAAAACATGGGTGCTCAACTACCAGGATCCCGCGCTCCGATAAACAAAGGTTCGCTTAGTGGTAGTAATCAGACATTAGGTGACATGGATCCAGAGACAGTCCCGGCTCAACTAAAAAAAGAAGGTGGTGATTGGTTTGCAATGTATATATTCTTTCTTTTTTTTTTATATTCTTTATTAGATATTATTTACATTATTTGCATTACTTATATTATTTATATGATATTTTTTTTTATAAAAAAGTTTTAATCCTAAAGTACAACGAGCACTTGACGTTGATCTTTTCCATACATTGGAACATAATAGGTAAATCATAAAAATTGGTTATATATTTTATTTTGTTTTCTTAATATGATTACTTATTAATTTATTTATAATTTTATTAGTGTCGTATGTTGTGTCAAATTTAGTTCAGATGGGAAATATCTTGCCACTGGTTGTAATCGAAGTGCTCAAATTTATGATGTAGTAAATGGTCAAAAATTATTGTAAGCTTCAGTTATTCCACCTAAAAAAAAGATTTACTATGATGATTATTATTATTTTAAATCGATTATTAATTATTGGTAACTTTTTTTTTATAAAGCGTTCTTGATGATAACAATGTGGACAAAACTGGTGATTTATATATCAGGAGTGTATGTTTCAGTCCTGATGGAAAATATTTGGCTACAGGTGCTGAAGATAAACAAATTAGGGTAAGTAATGGATAAGTAAATAACTAATAAATATAATTGATAAATGTTAAAATTCTTGATATATAAATTTTCTTTACCTTTCAATTTTTCTTTTAGATTTGGGACATTCAAAAACAAACTATTAGATCACTTTTTCCAGGCCATGAACAAGATATTTATTCACTTGACTTTTCACGTGATGGCCGTTTAATTGTGTCTGGTTCTGGAGATAAAACTGCTCGCGTTTGGGATATGGTTACTGGTGAATTATTGTATAAACTCTCAATTGATGAACCAAGTCAAAAAGATGCTGGTGTAACTAGTGTAGCAATTAGCCCTGATGGTTATTACGTCGCAGCTGGATCATTAGATAAAATAGTACGCGTCTGGGACGCACGAACAGGTTATCTTCTTGAACGTTTGGAAGGACACAAAGATAGTGTTTATTCTGTTGCCTTTGCACCTGATGGTAAAACGTTAGTCTCTGGAAGTTTAGATAAAACTTTGAAATTATGGGATATGAGTCATCCGGGAAGAAATTCTGGTGCCGGATCTAGTCAAAAGAATTCTGCAAAGATGACTTTCAACGGACACAAAGTATATTTTCATTATTTTGGGATTCTTTTTTTTTAAATTGGTGAATTATGTATCATTAACATTTTTATGTAAAAATAGGATTTCGTTTTATCCGTTGCTGTCTCTCCTGATGGTCGTTGGGTAGTTTCAGGATCTAAAGATCGTGGTGTACAATTTTGGGACCCAATTACCGCACAAACTCAATTTATGTTACAAGGTCATAAAAATTCAGGTATATATATATATAATAAATGTTACCGTATTTTTGCGAAATAACGCGAAGTGGTGTAATTTCAAAATTTGGCCCAAATTATGCTTGATTCGGGCCATTGTTTTCAGCACCTGAGTATTATTACGCGAAAATACGGTACTAGAATCTTTATTTGGTCCTAAAATCTTTAATTGGAACTATATATATTTTTTACTCATTTCATTATTTTACATTATTTTGTTATTTTAGTAATTTCTGTAGCCTTAAGTCCGGCTTTAAGCGGCCCAACTGGCAAGCTTTTTGCTACTGGGTCTGGTGATTGTCGAGCGCGTATATGGCGATATTATGATGATCAATAAGATTTTAAGACAACTAATTTTTTTTAGCAATTTATTGTTTCTCTTTTGCATTATTTCTTAGTTTTTTATTTGCAGAATTTAAGTATAGAAAATAATCAAACTAGTGGTCATATTACAATTTTCTTAAGGTGATGGTTGGATTTAAACAATGATAAGTTTTAATACGCATGTTCGAATAATATGTTGACAAGTGTAGTTTCTTTCTATACTTTATATTTTATTTTTTTTTTATTTTTTTTTTTTTTTTGTAGATGCTTCATGTTTTTTTGGATTGGTGAAGAATAAGTTTTTTTACTCCGATTATGTATGGAATTTTTTTCATCCTTTTGTACAAATGTTTTTTTTTTTCAAACAACGTTACAAACTTGGTTTGCGGAAAAATATAAATATTTTTTTTACTTAATGATTTTCAACATTATGGTGACTAAAAATTGTTTTAAATGAATTTAATTCCACACTTGATTTATTGTATAAAGTGAATGTTTTTAATAATAATAATAAATAAATAAATAAAATTAAAATTAAAATTAAATCGTTCGCTATGACGCGTTATTTTTAGACGTTTATTTTAATTTTGTAATATGCAAGTAGTAATTAGGATAGAAGGATTTGGGTCAAAATACTGACAAACAAAATTCCGGCAAGGTACAAGTTAGCCCGCATTAGGTTAGTATTGGCTATAATTTCAGTCAATTTTTTTTTTCAGGATTATTTGTCAGGATTTTTATTTGTCGGAATTTTGACCCAAACCCGAAAGAATCATAAGTGATCAAGGGAACCTATGTAGATCACCCACAAAAAATTTTTCGGCACGTGAACGTGTTTCGCAAAAAAATCGCTTATATCTCCGAAATCTATTAATAAAATTACCTTTTATCTACTAATTTTATTATAAAATGCTAACCATAACCAGGGTATCCAACAGCTTACATAATTTATATAATGTTTAATGATGATCTAAGCATGTTTGACCAATCAAATTTGATCAGAAAAGCAAGACCGACGCAGTATTTGCACCGTTATATTTAACACTTTATGATGTAATGCCGAATATCAATATTCGGATCGACATTTTTTTAGCATAAAAGTATTATTTGGGCCAAAAATACTTAAAATTCTTATAATTTATTTAAAACAGTTTTAAATATATACTGTATTTGTAGTATATAATACAGTATGTACTTACTTTTTTGTACTTTTATAGTTAATGTATTTGCAGTTTTTAATTTTTGTATTATACTTTTTGTATATATTTTAAATTTAATAATTACAGTGTAATTATATAGGTTTAGATAAACAAATATGCTATATATTATTGTTTAATATATAGTCAGACCTTGTTATAATCACTCTCAATATAGTTACAATCTGTTATAATCACTTTTTTTTTTTTTTCCCCTTTGATAACCTCGCACTAATTTATTAGAAACTTTAGCAATTTACAAACTTTGCAAAACTAACTATCTAACTTTA